TGATGTGTTCTTTTTTTTTTATGTTGAAAATAATAAAAAAATTTCTTTGAAAAAAAAAAAAGAAAGTCAACTGCCTGATTCATGAAAATACTACTTGAACTAGGATAATATAACGTACAAATTTTGACCATTCTATTGCTCACATTTTAAACATATTCTTATACCCCATATTTTTCTATAATAAAATAGTCATTCTATTAAGCCAATACTGACAACATAAAACATTGAATATGATATGGAATAGGTAATTTACAAAGCTGCCATAGTATAAGAAAGGAGAAAACCCTGGGTTTATAAGGGGCAACTTCTTACCAAGCATGTTTGCAAATTCAGAGTCACTAATTCAGGACAGTTTGCACCAATGTATTTGAGAGCTTCATCTTCCAGCTAAGAGAAAGACAGAAATAGAAAAAATAGATAATTTCCTAGGTCTCTTCACTGTACTTTTCATTTGTAGCATAAGTGGACAATATTCAGTCAATCATGCTTTTCTTACTCCTGTCTCACTACAGATCATGAAGTTGCAATTCACAACAAAACCCAGAAATTTGGAAATATATTTCAACACAATACAAAACAATTTCTTTCACCATCCTCCTTTAAAAAAAAAAGCAACTGATCCCATTAGAATCTGCAAATGTTGTTGTATGATTAACTAATTGCTATGCCTGCTGCAGCTTTTGAATTTTGAGTATATGTTGTTGAAAATAAATATAAGTAAATCTCACTCACTTGTGTATCAACTTGTCAAAAATTACAGCAGTGCTGAAAAAAATAACTTTGTGAAGATACACTCTTTACAGATCTCTCAATAACATGTTCACTATTATAGGGAATATACATTAAAGGAATGTCTAGTACTGGCAATCCTGAGTGCGTTTGGCAAATAACTGATGCTACCATATATGTATTTCCCATTGTGTGCCTGCTTACTCTCTTATACAGATAGTCCTCTACTTATAATCACAGTTGAGCCCAAAATTTACAGCTGGTGGGGGGGGGAGGGAGAGGAGAAGAGACTTACGACTGATCTGCAAAGTTGCAATGGTCAGTGTCCCTACAGTCATGTGATCAAGATTCAGGCAATCAAATTGCAATTACAATGGTTCCAGTATCCTGCAGTCCCTATTTATGCCCTTCCCTATCTACTTCTCACAAGGCAAGGTGAATGGGGAAGCCATTAGCAGGGAAGGTTTCAAGTTACTCCTGGCACTTTTTATTTGAGAGCCTACTATGGAGTACAAGATCCTGAGGATCATCTACTGCATAACACATGCATGCAGCACCAACTCTGCTTGCAATCCTTTGCACCAGCTTGCAATGGGCTCAGCATCTGCCCCCACCCACCCATGGTGCAGTGCCTGAAATGGGACAACTCGAGCTGCTTGCATGGCCAATCTGCCATGGCCAACTCACCACAGCCCACTCACTTTGGGACAATTCAATAATTCAATGTAATTTATTTAAAATAAAAATTATTTTAACTTTTGTCATTCACATTTTATTTTGTCCCTCCTTTGGCATCTTTTCTTTAATGATTCTATTCCACTATTTATTCGATATTAGTGTAACCCTTGTCCTGTGGCAAGTTGTCCCTCGGTGAGTTGGCCATGGCGAATTGTCCCTGGCAAGTTGGCCACAGTCAGTTGGCTGGAGTAAGTTGGCTGCAGCGAGTTAGCTGTGGCAAATTGCCTGTGGTGAGTTGGCTGCAGTGAGTTGCCACAGACCCTGAAGTACATGCCTTTGCACCTAGTTGCACTGTGCAGCACCCCCCACCTACCCAAACTCATATCCCCAGCACTTCCCCACCCAACTACACTTGTGCCAAAAAATCCATCTTTCCCTGGCTACACTCCATAACATTTATCTACCCTCTGGCTTCCTTCTGGGCTGCCTGAGGAAAGAATTGTGGTGACTAGGACTGCAACTTTCTATGAACTTCCCCGATTTTGCATGTTGAAAGCTAGTAGGAAATTGCAAGTTACAATCATATCAGGTCTCTGCTTAATGAGGTACAATCCTCACTTAAAGATGGCAACAGGGAACGCTGGGATTGCTGTAACTAAACAAATGCAGTCAAATGATGTTGCGCTTTAGGTCCATATCACTTAGTCCCAATTAGTGTTGCAACCCAAAGACTACCTGTAATGTTCTGATTTAAAGAACAAATTGTGAATCACTATTATAACATTTTTGTACAGTCTGAGATGACAAAACGAAATAATAAATTTCTTTAGAATTATTCTTTTTCCAATTTTCAATGTCTTATATGCAAGTCATGAAACACATGAAACAAATCAGCCAATCCAGCTTTCTAGACTATTGAACTTTCTAAACAAATCCAGCCAATCCAAATCCAGCTTTCTAGACTACTGAACTTTCTGAACAAATCCAGCCAATCCAAATCCAGCTTTCTAGACTACTGAACTTTCCGTGGAGACTTGTACAGTACCTGTGTACAGCCTTTAAGAAACAGAGCTTTGAGTCCACCACAGCCTCTCACCAAATTTTGGATGCCATCTTTTGTCACTTGGTCACACCACGAGATATTGAGTTGCTCTAGTAGAGGGCACCCCTCACTGAAGGGGAAAAGGGATGAACACAGAAAGAAAATGCAGGTGTATATATTAACTCTAAAGATAAACATCTTGCTTCAGGAACCAAGGTATGTTAACCCTTGCTTATGTTTATTGCTCTAAACTGTTAACTGTTTTCTTCTCTGATACAGCCTTAATAGACAATCCAATTGAAACCTACAGCTGGAACAAACCGAATAGCCATAGAAATAGGGCTGGAGAAAAGGGATTGGTCTGTTTTTGCATCCTGCTATTAGGAATTTGAGATAAGAGAGCATCTCTGATTTGACTCATAATTCTGTGTTTGCGTATTTCTTGTAACATTTCCAATGTAAATCTTGCTGATCATGGCTGCTGAAAGGTTTACCAAAAATCCGAAACTTAGGGACTGTCCTGGGATTAGAAAATCATTTATTGGCATACAAAAAGTCATCCTGTGTCCCGCTTATCTGAGTCTCACAAGCTACATTAAGTACAAAAAAACTGCATATTTATTCCTTCAAGTTATAAACTGGGCCAACAGCACTATTAGTAAATTAGGCCCTTTGGATAGGGAAGAGAATAAATGCATCACAAAGACATCCAACATATTTAAATCAAAGAAAATCATTATGAGTCTACTTTTATTAACCTAATTCAGGTGGTTAATTTATGAACAATCTGAACACTCACCTCAATGCTTTCAGTGACAGGTTGGTTATTGATGTGCAGGAAGCTAGATCAAGATGCCGTAACTTTGAGCAAAATTTACTAAGGCTAGTACATGTACTGGAAGAAAATAGAATACCCACAGGTTCATTTTGTTTTTATTTAAAAAGGTAGGAAAAAGCACTGGAGACATTTTCAGATGGATGACAACAGCTAATTCTAGTAATTAAAATATTGTGCCGCTATTCCACCTTACCTTCTTCAATGATTTTCTTGTGATAAAAAAATAATAGAAATGGTTGAAAACACTGGAAATTTACAAATGGGAGATGACACTAAACTGAGTTGAGACATAAAGAGATGAAAATGGCAGCAGTGTGCAAATTTATTGATGTCACTCTGGAGGAGTTTGGCAGAATGGATTTTTTTGGAAGGCTTGTGGATGTTGACAGTGGTTTATGAAAGTGGAGAACTGTATGAAGAGGAAGGCACGCGTGACAGGCTTGAGAATTGGTAGAGAAGTAGAAAGGTGGAGAGATTGAAAAATAATGGATGGATGGATGGATGGATGGATGGATGGATGGATGGATGGATGGATGAATGAATGAATAAATGGTACGGGTACGGAGATTAAGATGAGCCCTACCACCAATCTACTCTAATCCCACTCCAACATCCTTTTTTAATCATGAAATAAGAAATATAGCAATTACATGAAAATAGCATATTTGGGCAAACTAACAAAAAAGGACCAGGGGGAGGGGGACAGAGGAGACCATTGGGGAGAAGAATCATAGTGCAATCTTATATATGGTTCAGAAGACCAGACTAATTTCCAATGAAGTTCACTCTCAGTTAAGTGCTATAAGATTTAAGTTTTAAAGAGCTAATACATATTTCAGAACTCCAAAATAAAAGTCACTTACGCATCTGTAATCTTGGTGCAGCCATTTAGATTCAACACTTCAATATTTCTGCAGTTTTGGGCAAATGTCCTTCATGCAAACAAACATACATACTTTCAGGCTTTTAATGAAAGATTTTATCATAATGATTTGATTTTTTTAAAAATCTTGTATGCACTGAAAAGTAAAGCTAGCAACATAAACTTTAAGTAGTATTTTGACAATATCTAAGGAGAAAACCCAGTTTTTTAGGAAGCAAAAAAGAAACCATGAAACCATTCTATTGAAAACTTCTATAAATGTTGAGCCCCTATTTTTAAATTATTTTGAAATGTCATAAATGTAGGAGTTCAGAGATTATGTTATCATATAACCTCTGAATCATATGTTTGCCGATTTCTACTGCAGAGGTGGGAAATGATGGCCCCTTTATGGCTTCAACTCCCAGAATTCCTGGGCCAGCATGGGCCATCGTTCCCCACCCCTGCTCTACTGGGATAAGCATCACTGGACTGATAGGTATTTATTTTAGTTACAAGCAATATAATAGATATTGTACATCTTACCAGGAATGACTTGAGGAAGCATCAGAAAGAAGTAGTACAGGTGGTCCTCGATTTACAACAGTTCACTTAGTGACCATTTGAAGTTACAACAGCACTGAAAAAAGTGACTTATGAACATTTTTCACACTTATGACCATTGTAGCATCCTCATGATCACGTGATTTACATTTGGATGGTTAACAACTGACTCATATTTATGACCGCTGCAGCATACCAGAGGCATGTGATCCCCTTCTGTGACCTTCTGACAAGCAAAAGCAATGGGGAAACCAAATTCACCTAACAATGTTGTTACTAATTTAACAATTGCAGTGATTCACTTAATAAGAAAAGTCATAAAATGGGGCAAAACTTACTTAACACATTTCTCACTTAGCAACATAAATTTTGGACTCAATTGTGTTTGTAAGTTGAGGACTACCTGTAACGTTATATCTCACAACCTATGACTTAATCTGAATGTAACATTTCTCAATCTAAGATGAGAATTCTGTGCTTATTCAATCATAAACATGTTTATAAGCAGGCCATGCAACTAAGTATTTCAGTATGCTCCAAATTCATTATTCTAGAGAAAAGCTGAAGCCAGTCTGTGTTGTTGCATCTATGTTCTCTCATAATTTATATCTAATTGTTTTCAATATTTCCTTAGATTTGTTTTTAACTGTTTTGTTGTGCATTACTAAGACTCACATTTATAAGATGAATAGGTTTATAAATTTGCTAAATAAGCAGTTTTTTCAATGCCATTTCCTAAAAGTTTCCCCATTATATTATTGTGTAGTACTGCATAGGAGTAAAAGTCTTCTGCTTAGAATTGTGTGGAGATAGGAAACATCTACAGCAGGCTTACATAAAGGTCACAAGCAGCCTTATGTGGCCTACAATATTTATTTAAAAATGTTGTCCCCCCCCAAAACATGTTGCCAACTACCTCCAAGCTTTACTGCTGCTGCTGCTAGTTCCAGCCTTTCTGCCGATCCACTAGTCATGGAAAAGTTGACTGGCACTCCTAGTATTTCTTTGTGGCCCATGAGGATTTTTAATTTATCAATGCGACCCTTTCCCCTCAATGAGTTGTGCAGGATTGGTCTGGAAATAGGAAAGAATGCTGCCCTCCTTTAAATAACATCTAAGGTATACTCTAGTTTGATGTTACAGATAGTTATGATAACATAGAAATCAAATATTTGAGGATGCTGTATCCTCAATTTTTGTACCCAAAATTAGCTACCTGCCCTATCATCTTATGCCCAGTTCTCAGACAGGTGTTAAATAATTTGTGTTGACCTCTCTACCTCAATGCGTTGTCTCCCACACCTAGGCATCCGCGTAGACTCAGTTTTCGAAGGAATCCTCCACATCTTTTAGAAATATTCTCTACTACACGCCCCTGTAAGAAGAAGACCAAGAAGAAAATCTTCCAAATTAATTCTACGTGCAGCAAACAACTTTTTTTCTTTAAACTATCTTTTCCTATTTGATATATATTTTATCACATCTTGTTATCCTCCTTTACCTCTGGGCATTTAAACTATATTTAAATTATATTCAGAATGGTATGTTCTATGGAATGCCTGCATTTATTTGGTCCATATATAGGGGTCTCTAGGATCAGTTCATAGAAGCTGAAGGTTATATTGTAGTGCTAAGTTTGTGGCACTAAGATGCTTTTCTGTGGCAAACTGATCAGCTGAATGTTTTCAAGATTAAGTACAAACCATAATTTAGTATGCTGTCATCCAACTCTTGTTATATATTGTTTATTGTGCTATATTCTTTCTCAGTTTGTGCCTGCAAAAGACCATGCAGCTAACTTAGCCACATAATCATACATTCCAGGCATATGATTATATAGAGGGAAGCAGGGGGTCAAGGGCTAGTTTTTGTAGAGAAAGCTGATTTTGGCTATCTGTTACAGTTTGTGATAGAAATAACAGAGGCATTTTCTTCAGTAGCATACACAGGTACTAAATAGACAGAAATTAATTAATTTGGCTACAGGGACCAAAAAATCAGTGAGACATATTTATAAGGGGCAAAGCATTACAACTAACTACTTTTCAAATCCACGCAGCCTTTGTATTTTTTTTCTATTGAGGTTTATCCTTGGAGACTGTTTCAAAACAAAAAAAAATCAAGTGGTATTCTTACTACTTTTCATTTTAATATGGTGACTTTTAATGATACTCTAAATCTCTATACTTGATGTGTCACCTTATGCTCATCAATGCTAGTTATACCTCAAAGATATCATATTCATATAATTATAAGGCACAATGTTCAAATTGAGAGATTATTACCTCCTTCAGATAATGGATTCTTCCTTCAATATTTTCAGGTCAGGGACATAAAGCTTTGTGCACAAATGATACTGAATAAATTCATACAGAGATAAGCATTCACAGTATAGATCAATATAGTTTTCTATTAAAAGCATACTATAGCTTTAAAGGCTCTTTTGAATGAGGAGTAAAACAATTAACAATTTGTCTCTGAAGATCTGAAAAGATGACATGGCTTGTTACTATTCTGAGGCAGTACAGTAGTTACAGTTTATCTAGAGACAATCTTTTGCATATCACTTAATTATACCTCAATGTCCCTCTGGAAATCAAACAGGTCAATGCGTTGCCAATTGCTACCATCCAAAGCTAGGACATTCCATGCCTATAATAAAATTGATAGAAAGTTGAAAAAAGAATGTCAGATATATTCCTCTAAATGTAGAAAAACTAAAGGTAGATAAGATAGATCTCTACTTACTTGAGCCAGTCCAAAGCTTCTGTCCTCTAGCAATACCGAGTTATTTCCTCATGAGACTCAATACATTCAAGCAGTCTCATTCAAGCAGTCTAAACATGCCTCAGTTTAAAACAATGCAGATTTGATTTAATCTTTCTGTAGCTAACCATTTTAATTCTTACATTCAGAAATTATAGAGGATACGTACATGCAAGAACAACTCACAACTGGCTCCTGAACATTTCAGGTTCCTAAATAATAATGTCTCATTATCTTTTAAGAGTGAAGGCTTTGTGTAATGAATATAATAATACAATATACAGCAGTTGCTTGGATTACCTTATTTAAATTTGATATCATTTAAAGCCCAGATGATATCATTTAAAGCCCAGATGATATCATTTAAAGCCCAGATGTTTAAAGCAGCAGAAAGGCTTCCTTATGAAATATGAGGAGCAGCAAAGAATCTTTAATTTAATTAGTGAACAGATTATAAATCTGCTTCCCCCCTTTTAAAAAGATGTCTATGTAGTTTGATCACACTGATCCTGTATTTCATACTTTGAAAAATCATTTAAACACTTTTATTGTTTTTGCAATAATGTTTCTAAGCAAAGCTTATTTTTCACAATTATGTTTCCCAGTGCAACTTTTATTGATTCCAACAAGGTTATGCAAATCCTTCAGAAGTGTTGTGAAGTATTAAAGCAGTTATGCCTTTTCTCAAGCTTGTGCAGCTGTTTTAGAAGCTGCTCCAACTGGCCTCTGCATGCATGCACCAGGTACTGCAGAGTACCAATTTTGAAGGATATGCACAGCCCTAGATTGTAATATTCCAACCTTTTGACTAATTTGATTTCTTTTTTGGTATTTCTTTTTAAATGAGGCAATCAGATCAATAAGCTCCTAAAAGTTAAGATAACTTCTCAACACAGTATTCTCTAGGTAGGGTAACTACTCCCAATATCCACATTCAGTATTTTGTAGTCTCACTGGGAATTATGGGAAATGGAATCTAATACATCTGGAAGGTAGCAAGTTTGGAAAACTTGTAATAGACACGTAATAAGAATGTGCTACAGAATAAACCAGGATTATTAAATCACATTACCCAATTCACATTGTGAATTATAATAACTGTGCTATTCTGCTCATGGTCTAGTCCATTCACCATTAAACAGGATTTCCTCTGAGGTATACCATGTGTATTTATATGAAACAAATGAATCATACAGGAATATAGGAAAGTGTTCTCAGTAACAATCTTCAGTTTTAAAATTTTATTCCTGACATTGTCCAGCGAAATATGAGTCTAAGCATCTTAAGATTTTTTCCCCCAGACAAGCATTTAATTATTGAGCCAAGTATAGCTCACATAGACTTCTCTGTATTCTCTACGAATAGCTAACTTCTCTGTATTCTCTACGAATAGCTAACTTAGAATCATTCATTTAATGATCAAAATTATAATGTTAAAAAAAGTTAGTCCTTACACTTGTGACTTAGCATCCACACATCACATGATCAGAATTTGGTGCTTGGCAACAGGCACATATTTGCAATGATTACAGCATCCTGGGATGATTTGATCGCCATTTGCAACATTCCCAGGGAGCTTCCAACAAGCAAATTCAGTAAAGGACCATGACAAAACTTGTTATAAAACTGGGTTTGACTAACTTAATGACTACATCACTGGAAGTTCTGGCCCCAATTTTGGTCTTAAGTTGAGGACTGCCTATATAAAAATCCATTTTGTTAGCCCTCTCCTATCCATGTCCTCAAAAATTCTTGCTACCAAGGACCTGTGAACATGAATTATAGGTGAAGAGAACGCATCAGCTGCAGTCCCACCATTTCCCAGTAACATAGGAGTCTGCATATTAACAGTAACAAAACAAGTGGACATTTTTGATACTGTATTGGTACAAAAACTGCAGAGGGTGGGAGAAAATGGGTTCACACTGAATATTACATAAGGCTGACACATTCCTGGGTTTCATATGCTAGTCTGTAACCATATTAATTTGATCTGGTTTATGGGTTTCAAAATGACAATCTGGAGATACCCAATAGAGAAAGCCTTTCCAGTACTAGTATGGAAACATTCTTACCCTGGAGACCTGCGCGCAGCGGCATAGAGTGACCACATCCAGAAAGGAGAATATTCTGTTAAAATACACACATAGAAACAAATAACTAAATGCATATGTATAAATGTACTGTGAAATGACTTAAGCAAGAGCTACCAAGAGTTTTGTTTGAAAACCTGGTTTTAATATCCAGGTTTCAATTCTGAAAAACTGAAAGAAGAATGTGACATTTCATCACTAAAAAAAAAATTACTCAAATGAGTGGACACTTATGTAAAGTAATAATTTAGCAATATTATTGCTGCTTATTACAACAATAATTTACAGTTTATTCTGTATATTATCTCAAGGCATAATATTATCAATGTATTTATAATTAAATAATTGAAGTATAGTAGACAAAAATTTACAACTCATATATTTCATTACTTAAGATTTAATGTAACTAGATCATGTATCTAACTTTTAGTTAGCTAGAAATATATACATCTTCTGCTTCTGCATTCTTTGCAATTTAAATCCGTAAACCAAAATTAGTAATTATTAAAATTAGTGAAATTAATTAAATGAAATGGTGGAGACAAATTAAAACTACTGATAGAAGCAATCTAAATTACCATGTTTGTACTATAAATATGACATTTATTAGTTCAAATAGTTGTATTATTTGGTATCGCAAACCAAAAAGTACCGTATTACTAAAAACAAAATTGAATAAAGCAAAGATTAAATCACAAAACTCCTAATATATCACAAAATATTGTTTTAAAATATGATAGTGATTATGAAGTATAATTTTATCCTCATTCTTGATATCATTTCATTATGATGCAATTATGATGCAATTAAAAGATAGCTTTTTACAAAGATCTTGACTTTGAGGAATATTTGATTATTAGTAAAGTATTCTTTAGGACAGGGCTTTTCAACCTTTTCAGAGATTGTACAACTTTTAGGATATGGCAATATTCGAGTACCACCAATTTCCTAGCAGGTGGGCGTGGCATGTTCGACGCCACTCACTGGACTCAGCTGACTCGAGACAGCTGGGTCAGAATGGAACAAGTGGCACCAGCTAACTCAATGTGGGGACAACTCGATTCCCCACAAACTCCTCGCCTCCCCAAACTGCTAGCAGCCAAGCCAAGCACATGTGCGCACGCAAGCGCACACACACATACACACCCACACACACCACATTTCAGGTTTGGGGACTTTTATCCACAGGAGAGGGCCTTTTCCCCAAGCCCAGGCATGATTGGCAATTTGCTAGCTCAGATGTGGATGCAAATCTCCAAGCTTGTAATGTTTGTGTGTGTGGATAGCACGCTAAAGAGATGTTCTTTTCCCAATCTCAGACCGTTGGTGTTTCCCTGTCCAGTTCCCCCTCCCAGCAAAGCAGGAGGTGGAGGACGTTTGCAGGAAGCAGTTTCCTCTGAGTCCAACTCCTATGTTGACAGATCTCTGGAGAGCAAGAGGAGGCTGCAGGGGAGCAGCGGTCCTGGGTCCTGCACAAGGGAGGCTGGCTTTTCTCAAAAGGGAAGTCCCATTTCCAATCATGCATGGTAAGGATGCTGGTTTGTTGGGTCAGCCTTCCCTCACAGAGCTCCCCTACCACACCCTCCTCCTCTCCAGAGATCTGCAGGGGAGACAGAGATCTGGAGGTCAAGGTGCAGCCTCCATATTGGTCACTTCTACCTCTCCAAGCCCTTCCCGATTAAACATACATTACATATAAATTAAAACACCCCCCCCCCCAAAAATAGGTAAATCACTAATTACAGTTCTTCACATATTTTCTGGAAAAACCCACCTTTATTGATGTTAGGAAGGAACTCTTAACAGGAAGGGAATTGAAGACTCCAAAAGGTCTCGTTCTTTCTAATCTGCCTTCCCTTTGAGCCTTTAGTTCTCATTATTTTATTCATTATGTATTTAAGAAGATCAAAGGCTCCTGTAGCTCAGGATACTCACTTTAAAGTCAGAATCCAGAAAAATTTAGTTAATCCACAATACCGCCCTATGAAGAATGAAGATAATCTTTTGGCCCTGAGAGTATGCAGGTGTCAAGTCAGAATATTAGTGGCACACCTGGCTTCCGGTTCCGGGTTGCAGCACTGCGGTCGTGCGAAGAGACTGCTCTCTTCGCCGGCCAGGTTTCCTCCGCCGGTAGACTCTTGATCGGGTCGAAAAGTTGCCCTGGAGGGGCGACTACTGTTGAGGAGGCCCCCTGTTTGACTGCAGAGGGGCGTCCTCATCCTCTGCAGTCCGGGTAAGCTCCTTTGGGCCAACGGAGTAAAGATTGGCCAGTAAAATGGCCAATCACTCAGCTGCACCAACCGCAAGCCACAAGAACAGAAACACGGTGAAACAGAACCACCGTGGAAGATTTGGTGAGACCTTTCCTTGCCTCTATTTTTCCTATTTATTCCTGTGAAAAGCTTTTTTTAAAAAAAAACAACTATTTCCCTACTTTGTTAAAGCAGCTTTGTTGATCGGGGGGAGAAAAGCCTTGGAACAAAAGAAATTTTTTTTAATGATTGATACTATCTTTGGACATTTGGGGGTCTCAAAATTTCCTGATATAGTCTTAATATGCTAGGGGTTTTTTTGTTTATTTTTTACTATTTTTGTAATTGAAGAAAAGAGGGAAAGAGGAAAAGAGGAAAGAAAAGAAATTATTTTTACTGGGGGTTTGGAAAGACTGAATAACTTTGGATAACCCTCTGGGGACATCTTCTGGTGAAATTACTAACTGCAACTATTACCAATTGCAATTATTTTATTTTCTTGGACTTTGAGTCTGACTCTGACCTTCAAATTATCACAAAAAGGAAAAGATAAAGAAGCTGTACAGCTGGGTGGAGGTGGACATTGACTGATTGTTATTAAATATAGCCTCCACCAAAAGAATAATGGCTTTAAACACTACTGAAATGAAGGAACTCTGCCTAGACTTTAATTATAAGTATATATTGGATAAAATTCTTGAAAATACTGAGCGAATAGCAGCCTATACAAGAGAGAGTATTTCTTAACGACAAATTAAAGCACAAGGCCTAAGTGAACACTTTGTAGGCCAAGAAACAGTAGAAGGGATATATATACTCAAGAATCCTGTTCTCAACGTTGCTTACAACTTACTGAGATGGAGGAACTACATTCACATCAGGATTATCAATCTACATCAGAAAAAACTTTGGATACCAATGAACAAATGATTTTCAGCATAGAAATTAAGGATGTTATCCCAGAAGGACAACCCGATATGCAGAATTTAATTGACTTTTTGACAGATAAAAAATCAACAGAAGAAGAACTAAACAACACTAAAGAGGATTATATATCACTTCATGTACAATCTACTCAGATTTTGGAGGATTCAAAAGTGATTGCAACCAAACTACCGTATTTTCCGGCATATAAGACGACTTTCTAAACCCTGAAAATCTTCTCAAAAGTCAGGGGTCGTCTTATACGCCCAGTTGTCTTATACGCCAGAAAATACGGGTATTCTATTTTATTCCTTTACACGTGTGGTTTGGCATATTACTCATCAAGTTTTCTCTCCCCCCAGAGAGAGTGGTGAAAGAGAAGAGAAGAGGAGAGGAAGAAGAGGGAAGTAGGGAAGAAAGAGAAGGAAGGGAGAAAGAAGGTAGAGAAGAAGGAGTGGGGATGCAGTGAAAGGGGAAATGGGCGAGCAACACCAAAAGTCATGTGTATGTATTTATTTCATTAAAAGTATCTTATATATAAGAATGTAAAAAGAATGTATGTTAATATCTGATAAATATCACAGTATATGTATGGGGGAGAGTTTGGAAAAATAAAAAATAAATTAAAAAAAAAGTTTTCTCTCCCCCCCCTCTCTCGCTCAAACTCTATATTTTAACTGGAAAAGTTGGGGGTCGTCTTATACGCCCAGTCGTCTTATACGCCGGAAAATACGGTATACGTAACTTCAAAAAGGATGGGGATTGAGGTCCAATCAAGAGCCATTGAGAATCACTATAATTTTGTTACTAGCTTACTAAAATGGACTAAAATTTCTTTGGTTTATGTACTTTGGCCAGAGACGAAGGGAGATTTATCTGTGGATCTAGAGGCTTTATTATGGAAACCTATTTGGAATAGGAAGAAGGCTAGAATAAGATATAAATATGTAATTTAAGATTACAGCTATGGGTTGCAAAGGTTTTATAGAGATGCGGACTGATTTGGATTTGGAATTTTAAGAGGTGTTATTAAGATAAGATTTAGAACTTAGTATTGAAATATAGTAAGAACATATTCTTTGGAATAATAGATCTTTCTTCCTTTCTCTTTTTTCCTCTTGGTTTGTTTTTGTCTTTCCTTCTTACTATTTTCTCTATTTTTTGTGTTTTTTATTATTAGCCATGATAATTAATTTGTGGAGGTATAATGAGAAAAAGATTGTAATAATGGAAGAGATGAAATTAATAAACGAAGAACTATCGAAGAGGAAAAAGAATATGGTTAAGAATTATAAGAATGCAATGATGGAAATAATATGCTTAAATAGGAGAAGTTAGGGACATCCAAATGGTAAATAGTATGTTTGTTTAACGCTTAGTTGGATATGGTATTTGGAAATTAATTATAGCTGAAAACAGGACTTTGATTTATATAAGTAGTTGAAAATAACCTTTATTGATTAATGGAATTTCTATTTAGGAATGTATTAATGAAGGAATTTTATTTAGAAATGTATTAATTTGACTATATCATGTTAATTGATAGAGAGGGAAATTTTAAGGAGTATTATCTAAGCTGTATATTTATGATGTTATTGTATTCAATTGATTACCCTATCTCCACGGTGGCTCTTAAGCTTCTGGGTGCAAAAATGGAAAAACCAATAAAATTGTCTTTAAAAAAAAGAATATTAGTGGCACACCTGTCAGCAACTGGAAGTGTGTAAGTCCATGTACTTCCCTTTCCTGTCTCACAACTCAATCGATACATCCTTTAATTTTCAGACATATCTTTTTCTCATAAGTTCCTTAAAAAACCAACAAGGTATACTGTAATTAGTAGGCTAATAAATCTAGCACT